TAGTCGACTAATCGCAAAAATAATCGTTTGTGGCAGCCCTAATTACTATACTATACCCACAAAGATATGAATACACAGTCACAGACACACACACACTTACAGACCCTGAAATCAAAGTTCAGGCTTCAGACTCCTGGAAACACAAAGTTTCTGACAGTTTGTTCTACTCTTGGATCTGTATGATGTCACAGGAAGCAGTTATCTCTAATATAGTCACATGATGTGGCTTCACTTCTTGTTCAGGAGAAAACTGCAGCAGTTACCTGTGAGGTCGGGGTGAGCACAAAACCAAGCGGCTGTGCGGTGACATTACTGGTGGGAGGTGAAGCGACCAGTGCAGCGGGTGTACTGGGGCCTTTAAAGGGAGAGAAACTGGGGCCACCCAGGCCTAGTATAAGCTAATAAAGTATGAAATGTGGAGGTGGAAATTAACACAATAGGTCCCCTTACATAAAAACCATAAAAAACACATTTTCTTGAAACATTTTCCTATATGAACTCAGTCACGTCACAGCAGAGGCTGCACTATGTGACATGAGTAATGCACATTTGTCACGCTCACTAAAATTACTACCAGGGCCCTGATTAGGATTTCACTGTGTCAGGATCTGGATCTAATATTGTGTACGTGGGAACAATCTGACTGTAGTCTGATACACCCTGAACTTCAATAACAACCACATTCATTTTATTCACACACTTGTAACAATGGACTGAATACTATTTTTCAGTAATTAGAAAAATAACATTGCCTTTGATAATCTTTGTTTGAAGGTAGAAGGAATCGAGATCTGTGTAATACGAGGGGCTGAAGCTATGATGATTGATGCGCTCTGCACAGGTCAGTGACAAAATGATAAAGACATAACCACCAGCTAACCTTGAAAACATAAAAGCAAGAAAAATGTGCTCCAAATGTTTGGCTGAACTTTCGCTGCAGAGACGCTCGTGAAAATATGTGGACGAGAGTGAAAGAGACGAAAGAAAGTGGGCGAGGAGACGGAGGGAACGGCAACGAGACAAACAGAGACACAAACTGAAAAAAGAGCCTTTGTGCTCGGCTACGTCTGTTGACTCATTACTCTGACCTGAGCCAGTGATGACCGCAGTCTCTGGCAGCCAGTCAGACAGCGATAAACCCCCGAAGGACCCCTCTCTGTGGGCCTAAATGAAAGAGAGGTGGCTTTCATTCTGCCTGTTTGAATTGACCCAGTGCCTCAAACATAAACACGTCCCAGACTTTATCATTATCCCCCTGCTGCTGCTGGAGCTGCTCGCCTGCAGACACATTAGGGTCTCTGTGTTTGCCTGCAGCCTTCTATTAGCAGCTACTGCTGTGCACCTCATCCAGGTGTGTTACGCTGAGTGTTTTATGAAGGGGCAGGACTGGAATGTTTCACTGCCATTGTCATCATTAACACTTTACAGATCATTCTGGTGAGCTTCAAGAGATTAAACATTTTTCAGTTGTGTGAGTGGAGAATATGTTCCAAAATATAAGGTATAAGACAGCTAGGGTTGCCACGATTAGTCGACTATCAAAATCGTCGACGACTAATTTAATAGTCGACGCGT